GAAGTCAGACTTCAACCTTGTACCAGTTTATTTAGCATGGCTAAACATAGTGTGCTGGAGTATTAAGGGGAACGTGCTGAAAATTTGCATGTTGTTAATTTAGTGAGTAGAACATTCATTGTATGAACATTCGATATAAAGTTGTTGTGCTACACAGCTGTCTCTTACTTCGTTCTTTGTGATGTCATCTCACCAAAGCTACTGGATCAATGATGTTGAGTATATTTTTTGGCCTTTGCCTGCCCTTTGATCTAAAACAAACACAATGTGGGCAGGGTGGAATTGGGGATTGGGGCAACCAACTCCAAGGCTAGCCATAAGGATCGACCACGGACTTGCCCAGTGACTGAGGGTAGAATTATGACATCATAGAAAAAAGTCAAAATAATTATCACTGTCATCTATAGCAATACAAATTGGCCAGAAGGTGGCTAAGACTAAAGCATAATGTGGCCTCAGGGTTACCCACAGGAAATACATAAGGAGAAACCTATCCCTAACCTTGGCCGGACAATAAACAAACCTATCTACTCCTATTAACCTGTTTACAGCACAGGAGGCTACACACATTTATTGATCCACCATCTCTAGAAAGATGCTCTAGACCCCTTCCAAGCTAAGGGGGAATTACAAAATTATTAAATTCTCTCTGAAGTTTATCCCAAGAGATGAAATTACATCATTTAATTGAGTTAAAATTATTAAAAAGTTAAAGCTTAAACACATACACACATTTTACATGTTGGACATTAGAATAAAAATGTTGTCGTCAAATGAACTACTTATTCTTACTATTATCGGACAATTTTCTTTTACTCTGCAGTTACAAAAATTGTCTGTTGGATGGTGCATGTTACATGGAAAGCATTGTATATCAGGCAGAAGTCAAAGATGTAAGTAATGTGAAAAAAATATACATTGGTTATACAGAGGGCTATTTTAAAAAAAGTGGTACAATCATTCTTCTTCATTTAGGCTACAAAGCCATAGACACACCACTAACATGGACGACTGGGTTTGGCAGTCAAAGAAAATGTATGGAAGAAGTTCTCAAATCAAGTGGAAGATCCTAAAAAAGTCAAACCAGGCAGACCACGTGACAATTGTTGCAAATTATGCCAAGAAGTAAAGCTAAAGATAGCCACATACCATAGCTGTTCTGAATTGTTGAATTCAAGGACAGAAATTATGTCAAAATATAGAAAATACATAAGAAAATAACACATAGGTCATATGAACCTGGATAAAGGCAATTAACACAATATTTTTTTGTTCCTCCTCCCACTTCCGGTATAAATAAGATAGTTGGAGTCCACCAAAACATGATATTTATTGTGTAGCTCTATTAGGCCCCACTTCTCTATTGGATGTCCAGCATTGAGCAATTTTAATTGTGATTTTTTAAGTGTGGCCTCCTTATAGCCTATTTTTGCAAATATTCATTCATTTACTTGCAAATTTTTATATTTTTTTTTTTTTTTAAGAGTGACCGATTTGAAGCATTCTGTTAAGAAGATTTAGTATTTTATATATATATATATATATATATATATCTGGATTTTCTTGACAAACCTTTTTTGTTATTGTCTTGTCCATTTCTCTCTCTCTCTCTCTATATATATATATATATATATGGTAATAATGGATAAATATAAATAAATAAATGTACATGTAAGTGTTCAAATACACACACACACACACATATATATATATGTATGTATAGCCCCTTAAGAAAAACAGTGTTCAATGTTAAATTGTAGAGCTATTAAGTGTATATTAATAAATATACATAAGACCCCACGTCAAGAGTACAATTTGGAGTTTCATGCTCAATGTAATCATCAGGTAATAATTTGAATTTAAAACCATTTGGTTAATATTTCTGGGTATCGTTATGTTGTTGTTTGGGTGAATTATAACTAGTTAAATATTTAATTGCAAGAATAATATTTGTAAGATAAGGAAGACAATCCTCAAAAGAGCCTGCAGATACACAAGAAATACTTTAGGAATCATCCAGTGACATAATACAACTAACACCATTGTTTGGTTTACTAAAATAAATAAGAAAAGCAAATGCTCTTTTATTCAATATATTTATTACTTCTATCCATCTATCACCAAGGAGTTACTAATTGATAAATCTGGCCAACAATTACTGCTCCATAAGCAAACAGTACATTAATATCATTAAACAAGCCCAGAAACCAATCCTGTTCCATGTGGACCAACCGTAACAACCCTGAATTTAGTATTGCCATGAGTGCATTTCACTCAGCAGGGGCTTGTGAATTAGTAGGTATCCTACTACTTTGGTACATCCTCAATATTAATAACACTGGTCTCTACAAAGATGACAGGATAATACTCCTGCATAAAATAAGTGCACAAAAAACAGACTAAGAAAAAGCCTAATCAAATTCTTTAAAGACCACAGTTTGAGTATTACCACCACCACCACCACCAATGCTAAAGTGATCAACTTCATGGATGTAACCTTGGACCTATCTAATGGGCTTTTATAAGCCATATACTAAAGATTTATACAACCATAGATACATCAGCAAACAATCTAACCACCACCCTAGAATATTAAACAATTAACATAAATCAGTCCAATTTAGGTTGTCTACCAACTATAGTAATAAGGATATTTTTGACAAGCACAAAGGCAAATATGTAGATGTCCCAGAACAAAGTAACCATCATATTAACCTCAAGTACTTAGACAATGACAATAATGATGTCAACAAGCCTAAACACTACAAATGCAATATCATGTGGTTTAATCCACCCTCCAGCAACAATGTCAAAACTAATATCAGAAGAATTTTTCCAAATTTAAACCATAAGCATTTCAATCATTCCCAACACTAAAAAAAAAGTTTTCAATAAAAACGTCAAAGTTAGCTGCATTTATGCTAAAAATATCAACCAATATATATCACAGTACAACAATGTTATTCTAAACAAACACTTTATCAACCTATGAAACAAAAACACTCCCACAACTAATGAATGCAATTGCCTGAAAAACAAACCCTGCCCATTAAGTGACAGATGCATGAACAAGGCATTAGTTTATAAAGCTAATGTCAAATGAGATAAAGTTTTATGTGATTTCTACTGAAAACATTTGAAATCATGCTTCTACCATCACCAAATGACATTAGGCAATATTAAATATAGTAACAGCACTGCCCTCTAAATTTTTCTAGAAAATAAAAATTGAGAATAGAAACTGAACAATCACCTGAGAGTGTGTAACAAAAGCTAATCCCTTTAATATGAAAGGTGATAAATGTAGCTTTTATCTTTCTGAGAAGTTAATGATCCTAAAAAAAAAAAAAAAAAAAAAAAACAATCCCAATATGTTAAACAAAAGAAGTGAGTTAATGAGCACCGGCTTACATAGAAGTAAATTCCTAATCAATCATGTTGACCTAGATTAATATAGTTTTCCCAGCCTCAGACACCAGAAATACTTGTTTTGATGCTGTCATCATTTTTATTATTATCTATTTTTACTATATAACCATTTCTTTTATCTTATTTTTGCTTTTACTATTATAAATATTATCTTTATTATTATTATTTTTATACTATTATTTATTTTCCTTTTATTATCATTTATCACTACAAATCTTTATTTTTATTAATTTTTATTAATTTATCACTATTTTTTTAAGCAAAAAAATGAGTTACCCCCTTTAAACTTATTTTAATAAAAGCATCCATTTTTAATATTAGAATTAGAATTTTTAATAATTATTATTTTCAAGCTTAAATTTAAATTTCAGCTTAAATTGAAATTCAAGATTAAATTATAGTGCAATATTTAACTATAGTTATAATTCACTCAAACAATAACCTATCTTGTGAGACCCAGAAATATTAACCAACAGTGTAAATTCAAATTAGTACCTGATGATTTCATTGGGCATGAAACTTTGAGTTGTATTGTTGGTGTGGGGTATTATGCATATTTATTAATATACACACACATACACATATATATTGTTGTTGCTAAAAAATTTTGAATTCTAAATAACTGGGGGAAATTGCTGATACAAAATGTTATTTTCATGGAGTTTAACCTCTCCAGTATGACACTCATTTCTGGCAGTAACACACAGTGAGGTAGACCATCAAAAACAAGTGAAAGGTTTAGAGTTGTCCTTCTGTTTGGGGTTGGTAGCTCAAAAGCATCCAGGGTTACTTTTGCTCAGGCCTTTACTCAGAGAGAAAATACAGGCCCCCACACCATAAATATATACAGCTAGAAACATATATGCAAAAACACAGATATATTTTATACTGGATATCAGAGTAAACAGTTTATTGCTGAATGTACCACTTATTAATATTATCATAATTTCTGTTTGAACGATAACATCTACATAGATTAGAAGTCAGACATCAGAATCCAGTTTGTTTATTCTTTGTTTGAAACAGGAAGATGAGGAAATCAAGATCCTGTTGACTTAAAAATGTTAACAGAAAAGTGAAAAGAAAACTTCATAATATAAAAGATATGATAAAAAGCAAGATGTTAAATGAAGCTTTTTTACAATAAGATAAAGCAGTTCTGCCAAGATTTTATGTTAATTATTTCTAAGTAATTTTATAATTATTATGCTATGGACAACTATTTTTCCTAAATGTTTTCTAAAGTAAATCAAATTTTCATATAAATAAACATGCCTGGACAGAATTGACTAGGTTGAAAAAACTGCATATGTCTAATAAGCTCCAAAAGCAATAAATTTGAATATTTTCTCTATCCAATATTTATCCTGTTGGAGCTTGAGCTTGTCAGTTCCCTACATCTACACATCTAACCAAAATAAATAAGTAAAGATTATCATGTAAGATAGGGATTAAAAGAATTAGCTCACAAAACAGAAAATATAGAATTTTTACCGTGCTCTAAAATATTTTCAAACCTACTGAAAGTAGAAAGTCTAAAATAGAAAAACCCTTCAGTAAATCAAACTTACTCATATGCAGCATTTCTGTCAAGTTCCATTTGATGATAGAATGCAGCCTTTCCAAGTGCAATTACACTGCGGCTACTTTCACAAATACGTTTGGCCAGGTTCATTGTCTGCCCAAGTTGATGTGAATAAGAAAAAAGTAAAATAAATTTTGCTTCAAAATTCATGCTAAAATAAATAACGAGTATTTTAAAAATTGCAAAAATAGAGTTTTAGAAAATAACCTGGGGTATAGAGAAAAATGTTTTCAACCACAAAAAAGAAAACAATTTTTGTTGAAAGAAAATTTAAAAGGGATTAAAATTTTGTTTTTCAATCATATGCATCATAAGAAATATTTAAAAAATGCAGGCAAATATGGAGATAAAAATGTTTTACATTTTAAAAAATTAACCCCTTTTCTTTGCTTTTCTCTAAGCTGAAGTGCCAAAAACTACTGTTTTTTAAAACATGTAACTCCATCTGAATAATGGCAGCTACCTGATTTAGTATGAAGTCTATGAGATGCTGAAGTCCCTAGGTGGATATATCTATCCATGTATGTTCCACTGCAGTAACTGATGCTATGGGGTTGATATTGGTACCCTTGTTGGATGACAACTACAAATGCAGTGTACACATTGACTGATATATTGAGTACACCAGCATTGAATTGGGATATGATTTGATGCAATGTTCCCCTTTGTTCTGTGGTTACTATCATTGTCATTTCCTGGCAATCCCATTCTCACATCACCTGCAGTTTTCATGTACACTGGCATGCAAAGGTTTTGAGTCAACTACATAAATGACTATACCCCTTCATTTTATTAAGAAGTTAAGATTGTTTGGCCGTATACTTTCATCAGTAGTGTCTGTGGACCTTGAGGATTGGGAAATAGATTGTTGTGTTTTTGTAGGTGCCATGTAACAGAAGATCCACTGTTCTAAGGAGGCTGAATCTGATAAAAGGCCATGTAAAACTATAAGGCTGATAAAAGATCTGAGATGATAAAGTCATGATAATATGCAAATTCTAAGTAGGTTGGTTGGTTGGTTGTTTGAGGTTTATGGCATATCAACCACTATGGGTCATTTAATGCCAAATCAAGTTTGCACATATATATTAAATATATATACTTTGTAAACATAATTTGAGGATAACGTCCTTAAACCACAGCTTGTTTATTCTTACTCAAGTAAATGGTTTCAAATGTTTCTATCTGGCATGAGTTAGTTATTTATATTAAATAAACTAATTCATTTGCATAGCCAATTGATGTAATTTTTCACTGGCAGTTTTATTTGCAGTGAAAAAAGGCCCAATGTAGTATTAATAAATATGGTATTGTTTGAAATTAATGGAGGTTGTTTCTTTTAAGGTTTCTTGTAGGCAAACTATTTTGGGGTTATGGTTGGTCAGAAGTTGTTAAAGTTTCTCATAATTAGCCCAGATTCCTCTGCAATTCCACTGTAGGATTGCATTATTTTGTAATTTCATTGTTTGATGTGTAATTTGTCTGAATTGGAGTTATTGCTCTTTTTTTTACTTGTTTTTAGTGCAAAGTTCATCGGTTTCCATCCTTTCCAAAAAACCAAACCTGTTTTCAGTGTTAATCTTTGAGGTTGACTTGTTAGATTTGAAGACTTTAGACATTCCCGTGAGGAAGTTGGGGTATGGTCTCTCTTGGGTTGTGATGGACGTTCTTCTTTGTCCTTGTTTGATTCGGGGTTTTGTATATTATTTTTCCCATTGTTATCGATTTTAGAAGTTGAAAGACAGATTGATGATCATTGCAGGTTTTGTCTTTTGGTAAGAGTGGTCTGTGTCTATGATGTTTTTTTTGGTTATTTCTTTTTCATTCTTTATTTTGTCATGGTTTTTATTAATCTGAGCTGGAACTTCCATTTGGAATGTTTGTTGAGTACTATTGGCGTGTTCCTTCTTTAGCTCTGCCTGGAATTTTGTCCACTCACTTGGATCTAAATTTTAAGTTTTTTGATTAGGGTTCTATATTTGTTATCTTCATTGGTTGTTTCAGCTATCCGTGTAACAGAGGCATAGCTAGTCTCACCCATATAGACCTCTACAATTTTTCTGGACTCCAAGAAAGACAGATTTCTCTTATGTTTTACCTCAATGATTTCTTTTTCTTTCCTGTAGACCTCACAAGATCTTGCATATGCCAGATAGTCCTGTTGACAATTTGGACATTTTAGTGGTTTCAAGCATTCCTCCTCTTTATGATTTGGTTCTTTTTCTCCGCATTTGGCACATGTCTGTGGTGTCCAAATTTCTGACATTTGAAGCACCTCAAGGGAGCTGGGACATACTGCTCAATTCTCTCCAGACAATAGCCTATTTTGATCTCTTTAGGGGTTTGGGGCTGGTTAAAAGTTAATATGTAGGTGTTAGTTTTGACTTTTCCATCACCCTATCTTATAGTCATTCTTCTTATATTTATCACTCCCTGTTTTCCCAGGGCATCTCTTATCTCATCTTCTGAGCCTAAAGCCAACTCCCGACTTCTGATGACACCTTTGGAAGTGTTAAGTCTCTCATGTTGATAAGTTCTACATTTGGAGTTATGAAATCTTTTCATTTTTAGGAGGTTTTCTGCTTGTCTCTTGTTATCCACCTCAACAAGCAAGTTTCCATTTCTCAATTTTTTAACATTTTTTGGTGTTGCTCGTGCAGAGATAATTTTTTCAATTAAAAAATGGAGAGAATTTATTTATAAAGTGGTGAAAAAGTCTTCTGCTCTCAACACAGCTGACCCTCAGCCCCCGCCTTCTAGTACATATACGATAAAGGGTTGTGAAATGTTCTACTAATATAGATTCAATAATACTATTGGGAGAAAAAAAATATATATGAGCTAGGGCATGTCGGGACCAGCTGATTGATGGGATCGAGCCTCTCCGACTGCCTGTCTGGCCCAGGTTAGGGTCAAAGTGGTATGTAGTAGGAACATGACCTCTTTGCACCCAGGTCATGACCTTCTCAACCACCAGGATCCCGTCTCCAGGCATTACGGGTCGCCATCCACGGCCAACAAGTGGCCCCCTTGGGGGACTTTTAGCCCCTGCAGAGGTGCAGTCGGCGTATTCTGAAGCCCTGCCGACAGAGCAGTCATAAGTAGGAATTGTTTCATTTTGTTAACATAAGTGTAAGGTGCCTTGGCAAGTTGTTGTAGTTGAACATTAGCTTGCTTTTTTTACACTAAAATCATTGTTGAAACAAAGATGAAGGTTGTGATTTTGAAGGAGAAAATGACGAGAGTCAGCCAGCAGCTGGGAATTTCCAGAAACAGTGTTCAAACCATCTAAAAGACATTTGCTACTACTGGAAGTATTTTAAATGCAAAAAAAACTGGAATACTGCATGATTTAGATAAGAGAGATGAAAAAGATTGTAAGAATCTCGGTAACATCTTTCTGGCCCTAACAATCCTTTCATTCTGAAATGTTGTTAAATCATATCCACATCCCTTGGCTCTCACAATTACCTCATTTACTTATTCTGTCATATGGATAATTTTATTTTTACATGTGTTGGTGAGCAACAATTTTGTAGCACTTTAGGTTATATGTATATTTTTTTTATATTTTTCATACAATAACAATAATAATATAAAAAAGACACTATAGAACATTCAGCACAAATAATTTGATGCCAATTAGAAAATACCTGCAAGATTGTAGATTTGATATATAATGATAATATATAAAATCTAAAAGTTACACGGATACCAAAATTAACTTTGTCAATGTAATCTGAAAAACTAAATGGAAAATATTTTAAGAATATGCCATTTATTAACTCACTTCTTCTTCTAACACATCTGGTGAAACAATCTTGCTAAGTAAGCCATGCTTAAGGGCCACTGAAATAGAATGAAAATCTTATGAATTCTTACTTTATATTTAATAAGAGCAAAAATATAAAATCAGTTAACAAAAACAGTTCAGTCTCCATTTAAACAAGTATCTATGATTGAAACCAGTTTGAATAGGCAACACAAAACTCACCAGAAGCTGAAATTGGGTTTCCAGTAAACAACATTTCCATAGCCACTTTTTTGGGTATTGAACGTCCCAAGGCGACTCCTGGAGTTGAACAAAATAATCCAATACTCACCCTTAAATACATAAGATAAGAGTAGATTGAAATTTATAGCAGAAATGAAAACAGTAATAAAAAGATAGATTATTTATTTAGAGATTATACTATTTTTATTTTTACATGCATGATTTATTAAGGCAGCCTAACTCACCCAAGTACAGTAAATTTGTCTTGGTCTATTCTTTCTGACTTCTATCTTTAACCTCTTAATAATTGCACTCTGTCTTCTAATAATCTGATATATAATATTGTTAGGCCTGGTAAACACTGGCCAAATGTTTTATTATTAACCAGGTGATGTCTAGGCTCTCCCTTGTTATTCTTAAGAATTGTTTATTGATTTAAAGTTTTTATTAAGCAATTATTATAAGTTTTAATCTCCATGTTAATACATTTATTTGTACACAACTACCTAACAAATGAAACTGGCATCTTACATAAATAAAACTGCCACCTAAATTTAATAGTAAATATCTGTACAAAAACTGTAATTAAAAACTTAACAGGTCTTATTTTATCTCCTTTTCTCATACAGTATCTTATGAAGAACTCAATAATATTGAATAAATAATTATAAGTAATGGATTCTCTAATTATGTTGCTGAAAACAAAGTAAACTAACATTAAAGCAAATTGATAATGAAACAAATAGTATAGTGTAGTTAGTATAACAGTTATTGGCAAGAAAAAGTTCAAATTTGCTTACTCTGTGTGTAAAAAATTTTCCAACTTCTAAATTCTTAAACATGGCTGAAATGTCAAGGGAAATAACTCACCCAGGTACAGCAAATTTAGCTTGGTCTGAAGCAACAGCTAAATCACAACTTGCTACAAGCTGACATCCAGCTGCAGTTGCTAAGCCTAAAAAATATCAATGAAAAGTTTAAAATGACATACAAGACAATCTGCAAGATCAATTTCTTTTTCCTCTGAAATTATAAAATCTATTTTTCATAAAGGAAAATAAATAATATGCTAAAAATGTTTTTTACAATAAAAGTATGTCTATTAATTGTAAAAGAAAAGAACTGGAAAAATTCTGAAAAGACTACTTAAAATTTTTCAAGATTAGCAGACAAAGGAAAATTTAGTTAATATTTTCTTTTTTGTTATTATCAGAATATCAATGTTGAAAAAAATGTACTCCTTTTTAAAAAGAAGGATGATCTTGAAAATGATTTCTCATTACCGAGAAGGAATTACACAGTGATTATTTATAAAAATACGCAACCACATGAATTTATTTATCAATAATATATTCACAAAGTTTCAAAACTAAATCAATTTCAAGAAACAAAATTAGATTCTTTAAGGATAATATCTGCTAAATTTTATTAAATCTGAGAGGAAACTGACAATCAATATCATCAAATATAATAATAATTAATAAAGAAAATGTTAATGACTTAAAATAGAGTGCACTTACCAGCAACTTGAGCAATGACAGGTACATTGAGATCCTTTGAAGAGAAGACACATGAAAACAATAAGAATGACCAAATCACTTTTCTAAAGCAGCAGTCAGTTTGCAAGTAGTTAGGAATCAATAATATACATATTGAAGTAATTTATCATATTTATACACTCGATTCATTTACCTTCAGAGAAAATTACCTACTTTTATATAAATTTTGTCTTGCTTCAAAGCATGTTGAACAATTTTATAGCTGTAAAATTTGTTTTAAATTACTGTTCGAACTTTATGAAGATTTACATTATAATGTTCATTTATTGTTTTGCCCAAAAGTGGGATAGAGTTTAAGTAAAAAGATGTTTAAAATAATGTAATCTTTATTGTATATTAGCAATAATCAATTATTTTATGGAAAAAATTTCAAATTGAAGCATGTTTTGCAGAATAAACCATTCAAAAGTATTTTAACATGCTTTCTAAGTTGCTATCAATAATTCATAATTCTTTTGCTTTGTTGCCGTTTGACAAAATTGCATTGGACATGGAAGTGTGTACAAAGCAAAGGTGTGTCATTGAATTCTATCAAGCAGAAAAATTGTTACCATTGAAATTTATCAGTACTTACTGAATATTTACGAACCAAACTGTGGATGTGGGCACAGTTAGGTAATGCATTTCAGAATTGCTGCTGTGAAAAATTGAGTCACTTCTGCTGGTATAGATTATTATGAGGGCAGCATGCTGACTTGTTCTTCACTGAAGGTGCATAACCAATACTAGTAACTATGTGGAAAATAATTTTGTAGCCAAAAGCATGCTGTATCCAATGGTTTTATTGTACTTCCTTTATTGTATTTTATGTGGAAATAAATTGTATTTGTCTATATTTCTGAGATGAGGTATTATATACACTATTTACATTATTTGGACTATTGTCCTCATCTTTGTTGCCATATTTATCACAACATTTTGGCCACTGTACGCTCCAGCCTTCTTCAGGTGGTTGGAATGTCGAACTGAACCCTTTATTTCACTCACTGGGGTTGACTGTTCTAGTTCCACATGCCATGTCTAATGGATGTCAGTTATCAGTTATTGCCTGTTAATTCCCCTCTCAAAGTTCTCAACTGCCTTAACCAGGTATTGAACTCACACTCTTTGGGTCCTGTCACTGGATCTAACTAACGCCTTTATCCACTGTGCCATGTGTCCTCAAGGACAATACCTGGTTAAGGTGGTGGAGAACTTGGAGAGGGGAATTAACAGGCAATAACTGATAACTGACATCCATTAGACATGGCACGTGGAACTAGAAACTCAGTGAGCAAAATAAAGGGTTCAGTTCAACATTTCAACCACCTGAATAAGGTCAGAGCGTACAATGGCTGAAATGTTGTGATAAATATGGCGACAAAGATGTGGAAATTAGTCTGATTAATGTAAATAAATAGTAGGCATTACATTCAGAACACCCATCATATAACTATGTCTTATAATGCTCCTGTTCACTTAATACCTTTCAGTCCTCTTTGAATATTTCTGTACAACACAGACTGCAATTGCAGTTGCATAAAAGTAATCATTTTATAATAAGCTTGATTTAAAGATGACATGAAAAAATGAGAAACTGTTTGCATTTTGAATTGATTGATTTATATGTATGTATATAAATAAAAAAAAAAGAAAAACTGGAACTTACTTGAATCATCATCATGACCTTGGAACAGGTTTTGAATATTTCCACATGCTTCTCATTTGATACAGCCTGAATTATCAAGAAGGAAAATTACAAAACTGCTGAAGATGAAAAATGTTAAAATGCAGTAAATGAAGGTCAACACTACATTTACATTTCTTTCTTCAAATTATCAACATATTTAATAGCAATAAAAGATTTTACTTTGCAGTATCATTTTATGTTTTGTCAATTTTTAACACAAAGCACAAAATATTAAGTATGCTTCTTATCTATTTTAAACAAATTTTTTTTGTCATCAGTTTGAAATATTTTGAAATAATTGTGCTTTTTTGTAAAAAGAATTTCCAAACAGTATGGTCTGCAGTAACATTTAATGCTTTTAAAAAAGCATAATTTTTTCTCACAATCAGGAAAAATATACTATATGAGAAAAGAAAAATTATTTAAAACCCATAAATTTCTTAATTACAACTTAAATGAAAAATTAATGGAAGATTCTATTTAAAACTGAGAGAAGAAAAGTTTATTTACCATTAATTCTTTGAGGTCATGTCCAGAACAGAAGACAGGCCCTGTAGCTCTTATGATGATGACACGCAAGTCATTGTACTGCTGACAAGCTGTTAATTCCTCTTTTAAACAATTTAACATTGGTAAAGACAATGCATTCCTGAGAAAAAAATAAGGAATTGTTAAATTATAATTTTTTTTTTTAATGAAATTTAGAGAGAATAACAAATTTTTGCAGCATTTATGATTTGGGCTTTCCAAAATATATTCTCTTGGAGTTTGAAGTACAGGTTAATACCAAAAAAAGAAAACCTATACAAAATATGTTTACATTCATAAGAAATATAACATTATCATCAAACTATTAATTTTAATGAAATTAACTTGACTTTTATTAAAGTAAATAGCCAGTAAGTCAAATATATATTTTTCCCTTTAAACATACACATCTTGTGAACATACAGAATCTTAAAGCTCCATATTCTTTCTGCCATGGAAAATGTTTAATCTTCTATGCATTTCAATTAAGAGTCATTGGACTCTTAATATTGAATTGATAAAACAAAATTAATAAAGGAGATTGAATGGTTTTGAGCTGAAAATAGGTAAGATTAAGTCTAGTTCTAACTCTAGATATCTGCCTTTACTATCTGATTCTATGAATTTTTTACTATTTTGTTTGCTTTGTTGGTATAACTGCTGGAACAATTGAGTTAGAATTTAGTTTTTTAAATTTAGTAACTTCTCTAACTAACTTTGACTGACTACCATTCAGTATTGGAAGAGTATTATATTATGATATTAATCTAATTTTATATCTCCTGTTCAGTCAATTTTTGTGTCTTGAAAGCATAGTTTTCTGATCTATCAGCACGGGTGATTTTTGTTTTCAGATTTTTTCCCATATCTCTGTTTGCCTGCATTTATTTACAAATTCTAGTATACAAGAATAACCAATACTTACTTACTTCATTATTTAAATGGAAGTTGTTATTTTAAGTTTTTATTATTTAAAAAAAATTTTTTGCTTTATTTTTTCCTGCATAATTTATTCTTCTTGCCACCAAGAAAAATTTCAGAATTACAACAAAACTATTTCATTCGCATAGAGGAATACTTTACAGAAATTTTTCTAAAATTTACTTCGAATATTTCTCTTTTCTCATTAATCTAATTCTAACAGTAAACACAAATTAATTTTTTAGGCTCTATTTTTCTTTAGGAAGTGCCTTAATGTCTGCAAATTTATTCTTTATATTAATTTTGAAAAAAGTGTATAGAATAAAAAATTATATTCTTAAACTATTTGTTATATAAGATTAAAGAAAATTTTAAAACAAATAAATTCTTCATTATTGTACTGCTGGTCTTCCATATTTCTTTAGGTTTTATTTTTACTTTTTTGTGGGCTTTTCAAACAGTAGTAGTGGAATTAAATTGTTTTTATTTTATCCTTTGATCTTGCAAGATACCATGTGTAAATAAAATGTTATTTTCATTCTGTTTTAAGCAAAAGGTAAACATTACTTTTAGAAAATGCAGTTATTTAAATATTAATCCTTAAATTTACTAATATTCTTTGAAACACATTTTTGGACAAATATTGGATTTTAAAGAAATTTTAAAATTTGTTGTATACAATGGCGGATTGGAAAACGTCAATGTCTTAAAAATGCCTAAAAAGTTTATTTATATGTGGAAATTATTTTTTCTTTTAATTCAGATTAGCTTACCATTATCTTTCAACAAATAGAACTGAAATTTAAGTACTAAGAAGACATTTAAATTGCATTTTTTTTTTTTTTAAATAATTAGTACCTGGTACCTAAATTCTAACCCTTTCATTTTGGTTACTGAAAAAAGACATACAATTCAATGTAAAAGTAAAAGAATATTATTCTAATTAAAATAATTAAATGTTTAAATACAAAAAAACACCATTCTCAAAAATAATTTAGGTAACATAATGATGTAATTTTATATATATATAAAAAAATAATAATACCTTTTCTGGGGATTATTAAGTGTTACAATATGGATTCCATCTTGTTGTTGAGTAAGGACCAAAGGTTCAGGAATTGCAGAAGACAAATGTCTGAAGAACACGTATCTTCCAAGTGGAGAAGACTACAGAATTTAAAAGTTATTTCATTAAAATTTATGTTATTGTTATTTATTTTATTCATAACATTTCATTTTTTTAACGGAAAAGGATGTTTCAAAATTCCTAAAGTTCTTAGATTGGCAATTATTTTGCTCAGTTCTTTTTACAGTGATGACTTTAGTTTAAAAAATGGTGTTAGTTTTATTTTGACGACTTTATTCAGTGTATTTTAGATGTAGCACAAAGCTAAAAAGCCAGAAAGGAAATACTTACGAAATATGACTTATGAATTTATTTTTAATCAACATAACTAATTTTTACAGAAAAATAAACGTTAAAAAAAAGGAAAAAAGAAAGAAAACGTAATTACTAATTATTATTAAAAGTTAAAAATAATTTTTAGACAAAAGAATTCGCAAAAAATGCTTCTTTTTTATTTTTATTTTTTTAAAGTTAACTTTAAATTTATTTGCTAAAAAATAATAACCACTATCTCGAAAGAAAAATAAGTTTAAAAAAGTTAAGTTCTTTTTCTTTTGTTGAGTTCTGAGACACAGAAACAAAGAAAAAAAAACTAGTTAATGTATATAAGCAAAAGAATAATTATGAAATTAAAACAATATTAAAAATTCGTAGTAAACCTAGAATAATTTAATCCCGATTCAATGAAACTTAGATATAGAAAAAAAAAATAATTAAAAAGCCATAAAATAAACGAAACAGTTACCGATAATTTTGTTAAGTGTTCCAAGGGAGGAAACTCTTGATAAACCTTTTATTGTATGTACCAGTTTACTTTACATACATACATTTTCAAATATATTTTTTTACAAGTTAATTTTCATATTTTTTATATCGTAGGTATAATTTGACAGTTGTTTTTTTTGTATTTTAATTAACGATAAATAAAAAAAGGGAATGTTTTGCATCAATTCACTTTGACGTATATCAAGTTAGTTAATTTTTGGTTACATTTCTATTCTATAAACACTACAAAGCAAAAGAACGAGTAAATTGATAAGTAGATTATAGCTGTAGAACAAAAATGCAATAAAAAGGAAACATTCCGTAAAAATAAAGTTTCATGTATATAAAAAACAAGATTCACTACCTTTGCTAACAATAATCGACAGAAAGACGCCATCATGATTTATCTAACGATAACCGAACTGAAAATGTAACACGTATTACTATTGGTGGTTTTTTTAGTTTCTTTTTCCACGATTAAAAAAACAAAAAAACTGTTCTAACATAACTTTTTACAAATAACTGAGAAAAAAAGATAACAAGGATATTTTAATCGAAAAATAACATCTTTTTCAGGCCACAAAATAAAAATTAAAAATAACAGAAAAAAAATCAAAAATTCGTTTAAAAAGAGGGAAGTGGATTTTTTCCCTCACGTATCCTCTTTTTAAAACATAAAAATAAATTTTTACCGTCAAAATCTTTCTTATTACTAAGTTGAAAAATAAAAGGATTTTTTCATGTAAACATTACTTTCTTTATTCTTTTTAGAACCTTGAAAATTATTTTCTTTATCCTTTTTAGAATCTAAAAATGTTGTTTTTTTGGTGACAACGAGTGACTATAAATTTTGTACGGGGAATTTGAGCATCTTTTTGCGGTGAAAACTTTGTTTTGGAAATTTTTGCAAAAATCAGATAATTGTCTCATTTCAATGAAACTTTCAGGACCTATTTAGAAATGAATAAAATTATTTTTGAAAAATCTCTTTTGAAAAAAATTTTTGTAACAATATTTTTTTTTTTTTTTTTAACATCTAACGGTTAACCCCTTTCCCCACTCATTTTGACTTTATGAAATTTTTTTTTTTTTTTTTTTGTATAGCTTAATGTAGGTACCGCCACGGATTTTTATAAAAACCCTGAAAAACGCATTTTAAATAATTTAAATACCTTCTTAGAACTAAAATTTCGGTTCTAAAATATAATGGCCTAAAGATAATCTGAATTTGAAAAAATTCCGTATATAAATAAACTTTTTAAGCATTATTCAGTATGTAGTGCAAAGACAGAAATAAACATCAAGACAGTCAAACATCAAATGACAACTTTGAAACATCACTTTGAAAAGGGGCGGATAGCAGGTTTAGTGCCTATCATCACAACTCCCCACAGAGACTTATTTATATTGTTGTTATTCTTTACACAACTGTTTTCAAGCATTCCGTAATGAGTTTAGAGTTATGATCAGTGCTCCAACAGTTCTGAAAACGTTGCCACAAGACACTAAAATAAAGTAAGAACAGCAATTGCGAAGATAAAGAGGGACAAAATAGCAGGTTCATATTATAGTGTCTGGGAAATGCTAACTGCTTTGAATGAATTTATGATTGCCAAGATTACTGCAGTGATAAAAGAAGTTTACAATAGTTATGAAATCTGAGGAGGTCTAAGTATATCAATTTTCAAATCTCTGGTAAAATTTAATAAAATAGATAAGTGTGAATGAAAGTGAGTTTCACCAAACAATCTTTTTCATGCGCCACATATCAAAAGTGTTCGAAGCAAAACATAAAGATCACAAAATGTTATATTCATAGTCGGTATGATGTCAAAAGGAGAAATAGAAATGAAGAATGATCTATACTTGTGTTTTAATAAATTACAGAAATAACATTTTCAGGATATACTTATGTTTATATGACAAATAAGACACACTGGTTAGTGTGAAAGTGTAGTGTGAAAGATTGACTGGTGATCAAAATTTGATTTAAGGATGTAACAAACATTTAAAGATTTTAATGAGATTTTAAGTGTTATATCACTTTGAGGATAGTATAAGAAAAGAATATTAATCAAATGATGACGTAAGTTGACTTAGAAGCTGAAAATATCATGATTTGTCAAGTTAATTCAACCAACAGGTACTAACAGAAATATACTGACTCAAAATCTGTTTTGAAAACTTTTAACAACTCAGAAAAATAAAACTGTACCCCAGATTCACCATCTCCTACACCAATGTGAAGGGCCTACGTTCCAACTTTCTAGAGGTGGAACAACATCTACTAAGTGTCAAACCGAAACTGGTCTAGATAACTCTATCCTACTGCAGGAGCTCGCAATCCTTAGCTACCCATCCCAAATAACTAAGCAGGATCATCAAAAGTACCATGGCTACAGATTTGGCGCCTATATTAAGGACTGGTTTCTCGGTGGAAGTGACCCCAAAATGAGGACTCTGGCTTTCCGTATATGTAGTTCGGTGTGGCACTTATCCAAAGTACCACCTTCATTATCACCTTGTATCGTCCTCAGGAGGACGGAACTGTAATGTTAGACCGAATAATATCCTCACCGAATTTCCCTCGGCTTTCATATTTGTGGTGACTTCAATATTCACTACAAAGAATGATTAGTTCACTGGAAAAAAACTGACGAAGAAGGCAAATACTGAAGAGACTTCTCCATCGCCTATGATCTTGTGGAATCTTCCACAACAAGCCAGTTAACTGCTGCTAGGAAATGCACTATTCCTGTTGTAACAATTGTATTAACAATCTTACAAAATATATAACAAGCATTCATTGGTTAATCACCTTCAATCTAGTTTTCTAATTTGTCAGTTCCGACCAATCAAACCGCCTGCACGCGACAAAACTGTTTTCCCGCTCAATATGCTCAGAGCCTCCAACGTGATACACGACCTTATAAAAACAAAACACGTGTAAACTCTCTCTCTTTCTCGCGTCTCATTCCTTGCTGCCATGATGTAATCTTCAAGAACTCCCGTCTTAACTAATTGTGACACTATTTAGCGGTTGCGTGAAAATTAAAAGCGAGAAATAATTAAGGCGAATAGAAGCTATCACGAAAGACATCCTGAGCGATGTTATTTTTTTTTAACAAAGAAAAGTGGTAAAGATTTTATTTTCATTTGCAAAGAAAAGTTTTTTTTTTCGCAGAAGATAGGAATTCGTAAGATCTCGGATCTGTCGGAATTAATTTATGCTACGACGCGGCGAATAAAAGATAGAAATCTGCCCATGGCAACAATGAAAATTTCAAATTGGTCAAGTGGCCTACGAAACAGAAGCTGGAAGATAATCGTAATCAGGTCACGCACTGATCGAGAAAGGCATCAGCTGAGGCCACCCCAGAGAGAAAGGGAAACAATAAACCATTATCTATCTTTCGGAGATATCATTTGGTTTTTGGAAAGAGACCACCTGTCTTATTGTCCAGACCTGAACATGATAAAAGTTTGTTACCGGGACAGATAATTGGCGACAGGGTGCGAAGACGTCCAGTTGACCACCCATTTGACGCTGGCGAAAATCTCGTTGATAAATTCCAGATGACATTCGGTTAAGATAGAGATTAAGGACCAAGTCGTAGGGGTCTGCCGGAGGACAAGAAAGAAAATTAAAAAAAAAAATAAAGGGAAGATAATTTTTTTTTTCCTTTGAGCGATAATTGTAAACACCCGCGCTGCCGAGCGTCATTGGTTGAGTGGTGGCGTGAGCGGTGTGCGAAGGTAAACATATGAGAAGGAGGGGAGGCCTGTTGACGCCTCTGAGAGGATTGGTGTGAGATACCACTATGAGAAAGAAGGGAAACCTGTTGAGGCCCTCTGAGGGGATTGGTGTGAGATACCAATATGAGAAAGGAAGAAATTGAGAGTACGATTCCCTTAAGAACGCCTCTAAAGCAGAAAGTAATGGACTTCCAAAAATGGAAAGTGATAAATTTTCCTGTCCGAAAACAAAGAAAATCCTTATTGTGGATTTAGAATTATCGAGGAACACAAACGACGACAAGCCCACACCCGGTTTTGGTCGGCGTCCATATAAACAGAGTCGCAGCGAGTAGACGGCAGTTGGAGTTAGAGAGTTCGGCAGAGTTCCGAAGAGCCCAGACAGATTTGAGTTGTGAGCTCTGAGACCAGCCTCGCAGGAAGCTGACTGATGATCCACGCATTCCGACTTCGACTTCTAACCAAAAACAATTTATTTTTGAAGAACGACTTAGACTCACACCACCAAAACAAGTTTTACGAATATCGCCTGAAGATACAAAAAACAGTTATCGAAAAACAACTTAAGATATTAAAACTCGCCTAACAAACGCAAAGTGTCACGTATCCATATTAGCGGGTTGGGAGAAAGACGCAGTTCTGTATTCAGAAACCAGATATAAAAATATTTGTTATTCTTTTTTTAACACATTTGAACTTTTCGAGTTGTTACTTTATTTTCTTTTACATATACTTGTGCGATGTCACTTTTGCTCGAATTCGGCTCGCATTACGGCCCGGCGACTGATTGATTTCGTCTGCCTAAGATCAAATCACAACGTGGGTAGGTTAGACTAGAAATCAAAGCAGTTACTTCGGTAACCAGACGTTGGAGGCGAGCTGGGAACGACAAAGCTGATACCGAATCTAACCAGATTCCCATCCGAATCAGACAAGGGTTAGAACGTCACATTTTGCGCCGCGACCAATACCAAGTCACATTGGTCGTCACAGGATAGCACGGGGGCAGAGAGGCCGGGGTGACGTCACAAATGCAGTCAGTGGTTAAAGACCATTACCAACATTCACGCAAGTACGAACTCTGAAATCTCTTCTGAACTCTTACCAACTTGTACAATACACGAAAACATGCTAAAGAAACTTTATTCTTCTAAACTAAGTTTAATAATTACTTTCACTTTAAGAACTTAGGTAGAAATATTACCTAGTCTAAGAGACACAACTCTGTTTAACCTTTTCATTCACTATTCATGCACATATACCAAACATTAATAAATTCAATTGTTACGTTTTGAAACAAGATGTTTATGAATAATTATTCTCTGTCTTGTATGAATTGTTGTGGATGGAAGATTATTGAACACATACAATTTTAAGCCTTCTGATAATTCAAACCTTCTATTCCTCTCCAACACACATCACACATCCGCAACAATCTAACGCAGATCACTGAGGAACCCACCTGCGATCTTGATGTGACAGGACATCAGACGAATTCTCTTGAACTCTTACTCACATCCTGCCCTGAAAAATGCCCCGTTGAAGTTTTAACCTACATTGGTCATTTCAGATCATTCCTTAGTCAGTGTCAAAGTTGATGTCAAACCAAAGACATCCCTGATAGATCGTTCCATAGGATGACTA